ACATGATTTCCTATGGGACATGTTCACATCTCCGTGTTTTCACCCGATGCATTTTTTGGAAAAGGTCAGGGACTTATTTGAACGCAAAAAGTTGCATTTTTGGTTCTAAAGACTTCAATGGAAACACTGCAGAAAAGCATGTGGTGCGATTTTGCAGCGTTCTAAATCTGCCTAGCAACAAGAACAAAAAAAAAATGCAAAATGCATCAAAAACGTAATGCAGAACGCACTGCAGAAACGGATCAAACACAAACTGCATAGGTGTGAACCTAGCCTTAAATCTTCCACACACCACAATCTATATAAACCCCAGCATAGGTGTCAGTGGATGCAATAATAACCTCCAACATACAGTCATGGTAAAAATATTTGCACGCCTGCATTTGTCAGACAATGTACACCTTCACCCAGAAAATTGATACAATCACAAACGTTTAGGCATTCTCATGTTTCTTTCTTTTGTTTGTATTGGTATGACACAAAAAAAAGTGGAGAAACAAAAAGCCAAATCTGACATTCCACGCAAAACCCCAAAAATGGACTGGACATAATTTTTGGCACCTTCTCAAAATTGTAAGAAATAATTGCATTCCAAGTTTGTGATGCTCCTGTAATTTGTAATTAAATTCGTCTGTATCAATTAACAGGTGCTGACAATATAGAAATCACACCGGCAACTAGTTACAATGGTGAGAAATTGACTCAACCTTTCTTTTGTGTGTCTTTGTGCTCCACATGAAGCATGGAGAAGAGAAAGAGCAGCAAAGAGAACTGCAGCTAATCTCCCTGGACGTGGATGAAAGAGAAAAATTGATCAAAGATTGCAATGAAGGATTGTTATAATGGTGGATAAAGAACCTCGGTCCACTTCCACACAAATTCAAGCTGACCTTCAGGCACAGGGTACAACTGTCAGCTCGCACTCTAGTTTGCCAAAATCTAACTGAGGAAGCAAAAATCCTTTTGGGAGAAGGTGCTGTGGACAGCAGAAACAAAATGAAAGTTTTTTTGTAAAGCCCATCATTCTACTGTTTTCAGAAAAAGCAATGAGGCCTTTAAAGAAAAGAATACAGTCCCTACAGTCAATCATGGTGGAGGTTCACTGATGTTTTGGGGTTGCATTGCTGCTTCAGGCACTGGATGTCTTGACCCTGTGCATGGCATTATGAAATGTGAAGACTACCAGACAATTCTGGGGTGCAATATAGGAACCTCTGTCAGAGGTCATGGGACTTACAGCAAGACAATGACCCAAAGCACACGTCAAAAAGCAGCCAGAAATGGTTTCAGACAAAGCGCTGAAGCGTACTGAACTGGCCAGCAACGAGTCCAGATCTCAATCCCATAGAGCTCCTGTGGAGAGATCTCAAAACAGCAGTTGGGAAAAGGAACCCTTCCAATCTGAGAGACCTGGAGCAGTTGGAGAAAGAAAAGTGGTCCAAAATTCCAGAAGTGTGGTGTAAGAAACTCATTGATGGTTACAGGAAGCGATTGATTTCAGTTATTTTTTCCAAGGGGTATACTACCAACTTTTTTGTCATACCAATATAAACATGAGAATGTCGAAACATTTGTAATTGCAACAATTTGCTGGGTGAAGTGGTGCATTATCTGACAGAAATGCAGGGGTGCAAAAAATTTTTGGTCATGACTGTAGGTGTCAGTGGACTAATTATTGGCCCCCAACATTGGTACTGGTGACTGCAATAATAATTCCCGATGCTGGTGTCAGCGGATGCAATAACCCCCCCCCCCCCCCCCTCCTCCAATCATTGGTGGTCATGGCAGTGAAACAGAACCTCTTCCACACCCCCTAACTGCATTGGTGATCATGGCAGCAATCACTTATCTATCACACGCTCCTGTCCTGCTCTCCCCAGGATGGGACTTCAGTCCTACAGGGGTTGGAAATAACTCCTCCCATGGTACAGTCTTTCAGTGCCGGGTACTGAGCACAGACAGAATCCTGCTGTCACTCTGCTATGTATATGGTGTCCAACAGCCTGTAGCATGTATTGGGCCAGGACCTTAGGATTCTCTTAAGTCCAGATCATAAACTGGCCATACATATTACAATCTGGTTGTGCAGTCTCTACACCAATCAGGCAGAACATTATGACCACCCAGCATAACTCATTAAGGCACAGATTCCACTACACCTTTGAAGGTATGCTCAGGTATTGGGCACCAAGCCATCAGTAGCAGATTTAAAGTAGGACTATAGAGAAAATCTTTTTTTTTTTTGTATAGAGCAGGGGAGGGTTATAACCCGTCAGATTTCTTTTTTCGCCATATAGGTCCCATTTCGGAGATTTCCCTTCACTTCCTGTCCCATAGACTAACAGGAAGTGAGAGGGATTCCCTGCAAATTAAAAGGAATCCCTTTGGGACCCCCAGGTCACCAGAACAGTGTGCCCATTGGAAGATTTGCCCTCTATTACCTTTCTGGGGACAACCCAAAATTTGACATTTTTGGCATGGGCAGTAAGCCCATGTAGTGCAGGCACAGCTCCACTACATGGTTCAAAAACATTTTTGCCCGGATTTCTGCTTTAAGTCCTGTAGATTACTAGACAAGACCTCCATGGATTAGACTTGTTTTTCCAGCACAGATGCTGGAATGGATTGAGATCTGGAGAAAATGGAGGCCAAGTCAACATCTCGGATTCATTGTTGTGTTCCTCAAACCATTCTTGAATTCATCATACCAGACCACCTTCTGCCATTGTGGTTCAGTGCTGGTGCTCATGTATGCATGGGGCAGCATGAGGAATCTGACTGGTCTGCAGCTACACAGCACCATACACAAACTGCAATGCACTGCGTGTTATGACACCTCTCCATTGGAACTAGCATTAAATCCATACTAAAGGCTTACATTTTTTTTTAAATAACAAACATGTCTATACTTACCTGCTGTGTGCAGTGATTTTGCACAGAGCAACCCCGATCCTCCTCTTCTCGGGTCCCCCGCTGGCCCCTCCCTCCTGTGGGGTGCCCCCACTGCAAGGAGCTTGCTATAGGGGCACCTGCTGCTCTGTGTGTCCATTTACACATGAAGCCGTGGCTCGGCCCCGTCTCTTCTATCTTCTCATTGGCTCACTGGCTGAGACTGACAGCAGCTGGAGTCAATGGCTCCCGCTCTGTCTCAGCCAATGAGGGAGTCCCGGGATAGCTGAGACTCCAGTGCACTTCGCTGGATCAAGAGGGGGCTTATGTGAGTATTAGTTGGGGGGGGGGGGGTGCTGTACACAGAAGGTTTTTTACCTGCATGCATAGAATGCCCTATCTTGACTTGTACCTACAAGTAAGTGTACAATCTTTTAGATTGTAAGCTCCAAGGATCAGGCCCTCCTAACCCTTTTGGATTGAACTGTATTGTTGCTGTATTCTCTCCCGTTATATTGTAAAGCGCTGAGCAGACTGTTGGCGCTGTATAAATCCTGTATAATAATAATCAGGCGTACCTGTAGGTACAATAACTATCTCCTAAACCTGCACCGTTTAGGAGATAATCACATGGGCACTATCTGATGATGTCACCTGCGCAGCGCCGTTCTGCATTTAGGGCATTCGGAATGCTGCTGAACGCAGGCAAGTCTGTCACAATATGCAGGTATGCACACACTAGCACATGATGGGATAGACCTGCAGGGGGCACAGTTTTTTATTTTTGGTCCCTGAGCTCCTTTGGTGGGACTCACATGCACAGGATCGCCCCGCCAAGTCATTTTACTAAGACTAACTTTTTCATCCATTTTATCTGCAGTAGCTCCTCTGTTGGATGGGACTACACATGCCAGTCCTCGCTCCCTATGTGCATCAATACGATTGGCCGCCCATGACCCTGTCCCTGGTTCTCCTTCCTTGGACCACTTTTGGTCGAGTCCTGACCACTGCAAACTGGGATTGTCCCACAAGAGGTGCAGTTCTGGAGTTGCTCTGACCCAGACATCCAGCCAGTACAATCTGTCCATCAGTCGGTCAAATCCTCACACTTGCCCATTCTTTTGCTATTACCTTCAGGGATAACATGTTCACTTGCTGCCTAATATATCCCATAATATATCCCACCCACTTTCAGATGTCACTGTAACAAGGAAATCCATGTCATTCACTTTACCTGTCAGTGGTCATAATGTTATGGCTGATCGGCGTGTACAATGTACAGGTCTATGTCACCACCCCACACAATCTGTATCCAATCAGGCAGATCCCTGAACTACCGTCCAATCAGATTGTACAGTGTGTGTCCAGCTGTACACAGCCCAGATCTACAGCAACAAGGACCCCCGAGGAACTACAAATCCCAGCAAGCCAACCTGCTGAGCCTTGTAGTTCCACAGCAGCACTGCCTCTACAGGTGACCCCCTATCCCCGCAGTGAGCCCGGGCTGTCCGCACACTTCCTGGACCGGAGACTCCGCGGGTGGTAGAGAAGTTCTTCCTCCAACATAACACAGCGACCCACCGCTCCTCCCTTCCTTCACCGACCCCCCTGACACCTACCGTATGCTCCTACCTGTCCGCCCCGAGTCCCGGCTCTGCTGCCAGGAAGCCGCCAGCACCCACCAACTACTCACGCCGCTCACTCCGGCTCACACACTGCGCATGCGCAGACACTCCCTGGAGGCTGGGCGCGGAGGAGACTGGGAGTTGTAGTGAGTCAGTCAGTGAGCAGGAATGTGTGTGACTGGGGTATGCTGTGTTCTCACTGACTAAACACAAGTCCTGTGTGTACAGGGACAATAGGAGTCTATATACACACAGTCCTGTGCGGCAGGTACAGACACACTTCATAAAATGCTGGAAGACGAGGGTGCCATAAAAAATGCAGTCAATTATCTAGTAATAATAACTCTACAAAGTGCATACATAGAGATAAGTACATTTTCACCTTTAAGGCCCCCTTCATGCTCTAGCTATTAGGAATTATAGGCAGAAACAGCGTGAGTCTACCCATGATTCCGAATCGCACAGCAAAACGAATAGCACGCACTTGGCATGTGACAATTGTAGCAGAACGTGTGTAGGGCCGGATCTAGCCTGTCCGATATGGGGGGTGCAGTAACACAGGGCACAGGACAGGGGTCACAGCCGGCAGGGCAGGGGTCACAGTCGGCAGGGCACAGGGCAGGGGTCACAGCCGGCAGGGCACAGGGCAGGGGTCACAGTCGGCAGGGGACAGGGGTCACAGCCGGCAGGGCAGGGGACAGGGTTCACAGCTGGCAGGGCAGAGGACAGGGGTCACAGCCGGCAGGGCACAGGACAGGGGTCACAGCCGGCAGTGAACAAAATGCGATATCTCCTGCGCTCCAGGACCCAGACCGGTGGTGAGTAGATGGAACAAACTCCAAAAAAGGAAGGAACCACCGAAATAGACAAGGTCGTGCAGCTCCACACCAAGGCTGGGGAAGCCCAAACGAAACTGTGAGGAAGAACAACAAGAAGAAGCGCACCAACCTTGCACATTACCTCAGTAACCAAAATTTATTAAATAAAAGAATGGTACTCACAAACAGCAAATAAAAACAGGCATGTAAGTCCTTAAAGGGACTTTAAAGGCAAGATGCAAATGCGAATCCCATCATGGAGGAAGCCACTCAGTACAGGTGACGCGTTTCGAAGGACAAGCCTTCTTCCTCAGAGCTGACTGGGCAGAGGACAGGGGTCACAGCCGGCAGGGCAGAGGAAAGGGAACACTGCCGGCAGAGAACAGGAGTCACAGCCGGCAGAGGACAGGGGTCACTACCGGCAGGGCAGAGGACAGGGTCACTACCGGCAGGGCAGAGGACAGGGGTCACAGCCGGCAGGGCAGAGTAAAGGGGACACTGGTGGCAGGGCAGAGGACAGGGGACACTGGTGGCAGGGCAGAAGACAGGGGTCACTGCTGGCAGGGCAGAAGACAGGGGTCACTGCTGGCAGGGCAGAGGACAGGGGTCACTGTTGGCAGGGCAGGGTACAGGGATCAATGGTGGCAGAATACAGGGGTCAATGCCGGTAGGGTACAGGTCAGGGGTCACGTCCAGCAGGGCAGAAGACTGGGGTCACTGGTGGCAGGGCAGAAGACTGGGGTCACTGGTGGCAGGGCAGAGGATAGGGGTCACTGGTGGCAGGGCAGAGGACAGGGATCACTGCAGCAGGGGAGAGGACAGTGGATCAGTGGTCTTGTATGTCTTCCATTTTCTAATTATTGCTCCCACAGTTGATTTGTTCACACCAAGCTTCTTGCCTATGGCAGATTCAGTCTTCCCAGCCTGGTGCAGGTCTACAATTTTGACTCTGGTGTCCTTTGACAGCTCTTTGGTCTTCACCATAGTGGAGTTTGGAGTGTGACTGTTTGAGGTTGTGGACAGGTGTCTTTTATACTGATAACAAGTTCAAACAGGTGCTATTGATACAGGTAATGAGTGCAGGACAGAGGAGCCTCTTAAAGAAGAAGGTACAGGTCTGTGAGAGCCAGAAATGTTGCTTGTTGGTAGGCGACCAAATACTTAATTACCACCATAATTTGCAAATAAATTCTTTCCAAATCAGCCAATGTGATTGTCTGGATTTTTTTTCTCATTTTGTCTCTTATAGTTGAGGTCTACCTATGATGCCAATTACAGGCCTCTCTCATCTTTTTAAGTGGGAGAGCTTGCACAATTGGTGGCTGACTAAATACTTTTTTGCCCCACTGTACATTACTATGATTACTGTATACATGTCATATCACTATAATGGAGTACAGGGGAGCTGGGATATACATACTGTATACCAGGGGCGGACTGACCATTTGGAAACTTGGGCACTGCCTGAGGGCCCGGGGTCAGTAGGGGGCCCCATGAGATGCCCCTGGTACCTTTTTCATAGGCTTTTTTGAGTTTGGGCAAGGACACAGGGGCCCCATGATTCCCTATTGCCCGGGGGACCAATGAGTTGTCAGTCCGCCCCTGCTGTATACATGTCATATCACTATAATGGAGTACAGGGGATCTGGGATATACATTACTGTATACATGTCATATCACTGTAATGGAGTACAGGGGAGCTGGGATATACATTACTGTATACATGTCATATCACTATAATGGAGTACAGGGGAGGGGGGATATACATTACTATGATTACTGTATACATGTCATCACTATAATGGAGTACAGGGGAGCTGGATACACATTACTGTGTACATGTCATATCACTATAATGGGGTACAGGGGAGCTGGGATATACATTACTGTATACACGTCATATCACTATAATGGAGTACAGGGGAGGGGGATATACATTGTGTACATGTCATATCACTATAATGGGAGTACAGGGGAGGGGAGATATACATTACTGTATACATGTCATATCACTATAATGGAGTACAGGGGAGGGGAGATATACATTACTGTATACATGTCATATCACTATAATGGAGTACAGGGGAGGGGAGATATACATTACTGTATACATGTCATATCACTATAATGGAGTACAGGGGAGGGGGAGATATACATTACTGTGTACATGTCATATCACTATAATGGAGTACAGGGGAGGGGAGATATACATTACTGTGTACATGTGTCTATAACTATAATGGAGTACAGGGGGGGGGGGATATACATTACTGTGTACATGTCATATCACTATAATGGAGTACAGGGGAGCTGGGATATACATTACTGTATACATATATAATGGAGTACAGGGGAGCTGGGATATACATTACTGTATACATGTCATATCACTATAATGGAGTACAGGGGAGGGGGGGATATACATTACTGTATACAGTTTTATATTTTGGACTCTTTATTCTAAAGAAAAATTTAATTTCATAAGCTTTAAGGGAGCGTGCTTTGGGGCAGGGCTGGGGGCGTGGTTGGGGGCAGGGCTGGGGGTTGGGGCGGGGCAGGGTGGGGGTGGGGTTGGAGGCGGACCTGGGCAAGGTTGGGTGGGGCAACTGATGGAGAGTAAGGTTTGTGCCTGGCTAGTAGGTCTAGACTCTAAATTTTAAGCCCTGACATAAGGAATTTTTTGTCCCGTGTGATGAGAAAGAAAACATTTAGAAAAAAAGCGTTAAAAATTCTGAAAAAGAAACGTTACACACAAACACATAAAATACCCCCCCCCCCGAAACATTTTTTGAGCCCCCTGACACACACATGTATAAATGTAAATACAGTTATCGGGGGCACCAATGCATGAAAATGTTGATTGCACTGCACGTTACTGACACGTGTTATTGACACGCAAGCCAGTGAGTGAGAGCAGTAATTTTAGGCCAATTATTCACAGCTAACACTGAACTTTTTTTTTGTGCTAAAAATAGTTCTTTTTATTTTGTTTGTATGTATGGGGTTGTTGTCCTGCTATAGAATCAATTTAGGACCTGTCAGGAACCTCCCTTATGGTATTGTATGATGGATTAGAATCTGCCTGTCCTTTTTTTCCCTATTCAAGGTTTATTGAAGATTTTTCAAGAAATCTTGATAAAGGTAACAAACAATATACAGTACTCTGATTCCTCTTGCATCAAATTGTATTGTAGCTGTGGTGTCTGCCTTCGTTCTCTAAAGCACTGTGCAAGCTGTTGGCGCTATATAAATCTTGTATGATAATAATGTGACATAATATGCAATCAAGGCATTAGTATTTAAAGGACATTGAGGGAACCCGTCAAAAGCTTTGTATGGAGGTATAAAATATTGTGCAGTAGAGAAGGTTTTTGTCATCTGTCTCAGGTACATGGGAGGTGTCATCCTGTAGTTACTTAGGTCCCATTCACACAGGGTACAGGCATGCGTCTCCCATGCAGGCCCATATTTTACTGGCAGGGGGATACACAGCTGTTGCATGAATCCCCATCCTGGCGTCCTAGTCATTTCTTTTTTCTTTTTTTTTATATATGTTTTTTAATTTTTCAACATATCACTTACACCATTAAAGTATCAAAATATTAAAAATATTCAAAAATACACAATTTCTTTATACAGTTGTGTTCAAAAAATAATAGCAGTGTGCTGAAAAAAGTGAATAAAGCTCAAAATCCTTCTAATAGCTTTTATTTCCATACACACAATTGCATTGGGAACACTACACATTCTATTCCAAATCAGAACATGAAGAAAATATATCAAATTTGTGTTGTTCCTCTAAAAAGTTGAAGAAAAGTGAATATTAGACTGTTCAAAAAAATAGCAGTGTTTGTATTCTTCTTTACAAACTCAAACATTCACTATATAAACTGAAAAATGTTTGAAGATTTTGCTTTCCTTTGAATCACTTAATGAATATTTAGTTGTATAAGCACTGTTTCTGAGAACTGCTGTACATCTGTGTTGCATGGAGTCAACCAACTTCTGGCACCTGTGAACAGGTATTCCAGCCCAGGATGATTGGACTACATTTCACAGTTCTTCTCTATTTCTTGGATTTGCCTCAGAAACGGCATTTTGGATGTCACCCCACAAGTTTTCTATTGGATTAAGCTCCGGGGATTGGGCTGTCCACTCCATAACGTCACTCTTGTTGGTCTAGAACCAAGATGTTGCACGTTTACTGGTGTGTTTGGGGTCGTTGTCTTGTTGGAACACCCATTTCAAGGGCATTTCCTCTTCAGCATAAGGCAGCATGACCTCTTCAAGTATTCTGATGTATTCAAACTGATCCATGATCCCTGGTATGCGATAAATAGGCCCAACACCGTAGTATGAGAAACATCCCCATATCATGATGCTTGCACCACCATGCTTCACTGTCTTATGCTTGAACTATGGCTTGAATTCAGTGTTTGGGGGTCGTCTGACAAACTGTCTCTGGCCACTAGACCCAAAAAGAAAAATCTTACTTTCATCAGTCTACAAAATGTTGTGCCATTTCTCTTTTTTCCAGTCAATGTGCTCTTTGGCAAATTGTAACCTCTTCAGCACGTCTTTTTTTCAACAGTGGGACTTTGCGGGGCTTCTTGCAGATAGCTTGGCTTCACATAGGCGTCTTCTAATTGTAACAGTACTCACAGGTAACTTCAGACCTTCTTTGATCTTACTGGAGCTGATTGTTGGCTGAGTCCTTGCCATTTTGGCCATTCTTCTATCCATTCAAATGGTAATTTTTCGCTTTCTTCCACGTCTTTCAGGTTTTGGTTGCCATTTTAAAGCATTTGCGATCATTTTAGCTGAGCAGCCTATCATTTTCTGCACTTCTTTATAATTTTTCCCCTTTCCAATCAACTTTTTAATCAAGGTACGCTGTTCTTCTGAACAATGTCTGGAATGACCCATTTTCCTCAGAATTTCAGAGAGAAATGCACTGTAACCAGCATGTACAACATTTGCTGCCTTCCTTCCTTCCTTAAATAAGGGCAATAATTGCCACCTGTTTTTCAAAGAATGAATGACCTCACTAATAGAACTCCACACTGCTTTTATTTTGAACATGCCCCTTTCAATTAGTGATTCAATTACACAGAATCCGCAGCATGCATGTCATGACTGTTGGGTCTGTTGGATTTCTATTACTCTACTACACCTGCTAGTAAATTATTTGCCATGTAGAAATATCATTTCTACCAAAAACAGTGATTGATCAGGTTAGTGATGTCTGACTGCTATTATTTTGAACACAACTGTATATCCTCATTTTAAAAGAAAAACCCCGCCCTCCCATTCCCTCTTCCTATTCCCCAATCTGCTCCCTAGTTTTCTCCCTTTTCTTCTTATCTCTTCACTCCTCCTCTTCTCTCTTCCCTCACAAGGCACCCTTCTCTTCCTTCCTTACTCTTTATTTTTCTTTAAATTGCTCTTTGAACCTATCCCACTTTTCCCATCTTTCTCTGAATCTCTCCATTCTATCTTCTTCCTGGTGGTAGAGCTCCTCCATTTTATATACATAGTTAACCCTACTTATCCAATCTTTTCTTTTTGGTATTTCCTGATCTTGCCAGAATTTAGGTTTC